ATTACTGGACCTGAAATAACATCTGGATTATAACATCTATTTCTATCACAATTTAGACAAAGAATTTGGATATGTTGTTTGTCCCCAATTACTGGTTATCCTATTTTTAACACAAGAAGTTTGGGTGAACTGATACTGACATTCCCTTCCAGGTCTCCAAATACTGGATTCCACATGTTTCCAATAACTTATTCACACATACTGGGAATTTTTTGTGCTGGTATTTGAATTATTTGCCACAAAGAAATAGATCCTAGACTCTATTTAAAATTTGACCATTTGTCTCTATGAGAAGAATTTGACATTCTCAAAGGAAAATGAGATGAGATAAATTTATGCCTGTTTCACTGCATATGATAATGATTAATGAGCTTTAACTATTATATTGACCTGGACACCCAAATTAGCTCTCTTTACCATCCTCCAAATTGCACTTAAAAACACAAACCAAAATCTTCTATCTCACTCTTCCTTCTTATTTTGGCTCTCTCTTTTTTCAATCTCTTAAATATTATTTTAATCATGCACTCATATTCCCAGGAAGAAATACTGTACCTCCAAATGTGTTCTAGTTATGATACCCTTAGTCTTCCTTTTCCATGAAGAGAAATAATTTTTTTTTGTCAAATTTGGGGAATATATCCTTTCATCTAATTAATTTTAATTTTTCCTTCAGGGAGAGTTACTCCATTGTGGTTCTTCAAGTTGAATATAGTGTTTCCAAAAATACTCTGGGAAATGGCACAGGCAATTCCATCCTGAGGGGTCGGCCTTGCCCACAGAGGGAAGACTGCTATGGATAGCCTTCTTCTATCAGCTTCTTGGAGAACTGCCTTCAGCCTAAGGACACACCTGCTTCCCAAGGCAGTCCATATCCAATTAATTAATGTTCCACTAGGGACAGCTTCAAGGCCAAATCAGCTTTAGGGTTTACCATATCACCAGGGTGGCTGTATCTGTCCAAAATTTTCTCCCTCAGTTCTACCTTCTCCCTCTGCCACCATCGCTGATCCTGAAAGCATTCTCCACAGACCTTCCTGCATGTTAATCTCCATCTTGGAGGTGTCTTCCCAGGGAACCTGACCAGGAGTGTGTTACAAAGTAAAACACCATTTTACCTCTGTTACCTCTGTAGAGCAGATTGGGAAAGTTGAAAAATAATGCAGTTTTAATTATGAATGATGAGGGGCAGAGTACAATCTTTCAATTCACAACATTAAGATTGCCATTTTATAACAAACCAGCCCTGCATATCATTATCCAGAATTTCTTCTGAGTCAGTATGCTAAGATTTCTGCTGAAGAAACATGGGAGTGTTATGTCCCCAGGCTGATTTGATTGATCCAGTAAAGGTCCAAGTTTGCTAATACTTCTTTTCTTTTTTTCTTACACTCTTGCATTGATGTAAGAATTTAAATCCTGTATTTCTTTTTAGTTAGCTTTTCATTGCAGTATAACATACATACACAATATATACAGATCCTAAGCTTACAGGTTAGTGACATTTCACAAGGTTAATACTCTGTAATGTGCCAAAAATAAATACATTACATGTGGCCCAGAAGGTTCCTCTGCCACCTCTTAGTCATTCTAAAAGTAACCTATTTCCTAACTCCTAAAATGAAACTAGTTTTGCCTGTCTTTGAACTTTATGCCAATAAAGTTCCCAAAATGAAATATACTTTCTAAATGTACTTGTTTCCATTTAGTTTCTTTGACTGAATGTTATCATTAGTGAGATTTGTCAATGCTGTTGTGCATTATATGAGATTTTTGCATTCTAATATATGCATTTCCCACAGTTTATCCATTTCTTCTGTGGATGAACAACTACATTGTTTCTGCTTTGTAGTTTTTATGCATAGTGCATCAATGACCATTCTTCTGTTGTACGTATCCACATCTTTCTGTTAGTGTACACCTAGGACCAGAAGTGGTAGGTCAGGGGAGTATGTGTATAGTTCAATTTTCCTATGTATAGAAAAACAGTTCCCCAAGTTGGTTATGCCAATTTATACATCCATTGTGGCAGACTGCGCCTCCCATGCTGTCTCTTGACATGGTCTGGGCATTGGGGGAGACTACCGAGAAGAGGGGAGTTCCTGTGCTCCCCGAAGAGGTAAAGTTGTACTTCACAGAAGAGGGGAGTTCTTGCACTTCCCAAAGAAGATCTGAACTAAGTGAGTCTCCATGGCAAAGCCTGCTAATGCTCTCCTCTTTGTTCTTGATTAATGCTGAAGTAAGTTAGTTATTAATTGGCATGTGAAAACCTAATTTGGACTCAGGTGACAATTGGTTTATTGTTCTTACACATGAACTATCACAAAAGAAGTAAAAATTGTTAAAGGTATAGTTAGGAAAGAAATGTTTCGGCCCTGAGAACTATGGAGAACAAGCTGCCCTGAACCAGCTGTGCTTGGAAACCATAGCCTAACCTGGGGGGTACCTGTTTGTGGCAACAATACATCTCCTGGTGTATGCGAAAGGCCAACAGTTCGCAGGTTGTGTGGAGGTTAGGAATTTCTAGTTAAGAGTTAGACTTCAGTAGAACTTACATAGATTTGATGAGTTGTTTTAGATCACTTTGAAGTAATTGATAATAGGCTAGATAAATTGAATACTAGAGAATGGGTTGGTTTTAGTAATATAGCATAACTATGGACTTTCATGTCTACTCCAAAATTAGGAAGGCTTGACAGGATGATTGATTGTTACTGAACATTGTACTGTCTTAGACAATTGATTATGTTAGAAAATGAGTTGTACCTAGGAGAGTAATTGTCCCTGTTGATTTTCTTAATCAGATTAAAGAAGTGTCCTTTTGTAGTATGAGATCAAGAGGGTCTTTGTATATTCATGAGAAAATATGTAATGATTGTCTCTGTTCTGCTTTGATGCTTATGCTGATGTAATCTCACCACTGGCCTTAAGGTATAAATAAAGACCTACTGAGACCCTCAGTAGGAGATACTTGCACCAGAGAGGGTGTCTGTGTCTACCTCACTTCTACCTCGCTCCACTTCCCCTCAGCCCTCCGAAAAAACTTCACCGACTTGTTCTCTCCTTTCTGAGATCCCTGACACAACTTCTAGCTGGAGCTGGAACAATATTTGAAAGTTCTGGGTGCCCTCATTTCTATCAATACTTGGCATTGCATTATTTTAGAGGAGGAGTAATGTTGTATCACTGTGCTTTCTCTTTGCATTTTTTTAATGTTTAATGGTGTTGAGCAACTTTTCACATATGTATAGATCATTTGGATATTCTCTCTTGTCAAGAGCTTTTCAAATTTTTTGTCTGTTTTTCTATTAAGTTGACTGCTTTTTCCTTTCTCATTTGCAGTTCTTTATACATTCTCCACATAAAACCACTATATCTCTATTGCAAATAACTCATTACATTTAGTCTTTTTTCTTTTCACTCTCAATGGTGTTGTTTAATGAACAAAAGTTCTTATTTTTCATGTAGTGACATTTACCAGGTTTCACTTTTTGATTAATGCTTTTTGTTTGTTTTCTGTCTAAGAAAAGTTTTCTATCCCTATCCCCAAGATACATCTTTTTATTTTCTTAAGGTTTTTTTCAGTTTTCATTTTAGGTTTACGTCCATTTCAAATTAATTTCATATAAGAAAAGGTAGGGATAATTATTCTTTTTAAACTATATGATTTATTTTAAAAAATCTACCCTTCTTCCACTGTATTGCAGCTACCTTTTCATAATACAAGTGACCACATATAATGTGCAAAGTTGAGATCTGTTGACATAACTGTACTGTTGACATAACAGTAAGTATAAACAGAACTAAATATGGAAGATATAAAATTTTGAGCATCTCAGTTGACTGTGTGATTATAGTTAATAAAAGACAAGGTGACAAACCAGATTTTTGGACTTAGGTTACAGAATACTTCTTTGTCAACAAACTGAGATGAGATGACTTGGATACATCTGTGCCATGGTCTTGGCCCAATTCTAGAAATCAAGTGTAGTGAGACCATTATGTTTAATAAAACAAAAAAAAAATGAGGTGAATATCTACTACAAAAAATACTAAAAGCAAAACTCAACTGTTGAACAACCTATTGAAATGTTTTGTCTCTCATCTCTACATAACTAATCTGCACCATTGGGGAAAAAAAAACAAGTCAGTAAATGGAATGATAAAATAACATGACAGTCAAAATGCCTAACAGTGCTATGCAAATAAAACTAAGTTGTGTCCTTTATTTTTCCTTTTGTACTTTGAATGTATCAATATGATAATTTAATATACTTCTTGAATAATAAATGCTATTAAAATAAAATGACTCAAACTGACTACATTAGTCTTGAATGATAGGTTTAAAAACATACAACACCAATATTTTCTAGACAGTGGAAATTAAACCTATCATCTTCAATTTAAAATAACGGTCTAGAAATATCAAAGATGATTCTAAAATTGAAATATTAAAAGGACAGGCTATGCAAAAGTGCCCACTTTGAAATTTAGCTCTACTCTGAATCCACATAGTCAGAAAAAAGTAAACATTTCTGATTAACTGACATCAAGAAAGGAATCATTTCACAAAACGAGTATATGTCAGTGTCTTCACATGCATCAGAAATGCTGGAAAAGTGAAACATATTAGCGTGAAAAATGAGAAAAGGGCTCATTCTTGCAATCAAGTCTGATCATTCACGTTTGCTAAGGTCATACCCACCTTGAGAAAATTTTTTCCAATGTCAAGACACTCCCAGTCACAAGACTTTCACTCATCTGTGACTCATTAACCATTTACTCCAGTCAGAAACCAACTTGGTGGGTGATTTGGGGAGAACTATGCAATTTATAATCTCTTCCCTTTCCTCATCTTTCCCTTGGGGCATCACGTGGATATTTAAATAACTGATTTCAGATATGCGCTACGGCTTCAGTAGCAACGCTGTCTCTCGCCAGGTCTAAGCCTCACCAGCCCTTCTCCAGGAGACCTTTGCAGCCCCTGCCACGTGCTAACCATGTGCGACCGAAAGGCCGTGATCAAAAATGCGGATATGTCGGAGGAGATGCAACAGGACTCAGTGGAGTGTGCTACTCAGGCATTGGAGAAATACAACATAGAGAAGGACATTGTGGCCCACATTAAGGAGTTTGACAATCCTACCTGGCACTGCATCGTGGGGAGGAACTTCCGTAGTTATGTGACACGTGAAATCAAACACTTCATCTATTTCTACCTGGGCCACATGGCCATTCTGTTCAAGTCTGGTTAAAAGCATGGACTGTGCCACACACCCAGTGATCCATCCAAAAACAGGGACTGCCATCTAATTTCCAAATACCAGAGACTGAAATCTTCAGCCTTGCCTAAGGGAACAACTCAATCTTTCCACCTCTGTTGTGTTGTTTTGTACAGGGCATTCTCTGTACTAACTTGTGGTTATAAGCAATTAGCAAAACAGGTTACGTTTGTATTTATTTTCTATTCCATACCTCTCGGCCCTATGTTTTTTCTCCTCAAATCTACTCCTTAAAAAAAAAAAAAATCTCTTGGAGAAGTGAAATAAATAAATAACTGATTTCCAACTTACTGTTTATTCCATAAGCTATTTGTAAGTCAAAAACTGATTTAAGGGCCTCCCTGGTGGCGCAAGGGGTTGAGCGCCGCACTATGAAGTGGTCAGCAGCATCTGCATCAAGGTTTCGATCCACCGCCGGCCAGGGAGGAACACACATGGCGAGGCAGACCCCTCCCGTCTCGCCTGCTGCTCCCCTCAGTGTACTTCCGTCAGTCTGCCTGTTCTGTTCCCCACTCTGTCGTTGATGAATCCTCTCACCGTCTCCTCCACCCCCAGGCCCTGGTTCTTGCATGCATAAATGAATAAATCTTAAAAAAAAAAAAAATGATTTAAGTTTACATTTTCTTACAGTTCAAATATGATGTTGATATAATTCATTTGTTTCATGACTCGAAAATGTAATATTTATTGAGCCAACTTTTAGAATATGGGGGTACTATTTTCTCTTGATTGGCCCTAAAATTTGATCGGGAAGGGAGAAATGTGCCTGAAGTAGATTAACAGGAAAAAGAAAATTTCACAGTTTACCAGAATTCAGACATCTCTTCATATTCCTGCTTTTGTAATTATTACAAGGAAAATTTAATGTCATTTTTAGTCATTAATTTCTGAGAATCTCAAAGATTAGATGTCTTCCATGATATCCTGTGAAAATAGAGAAAAAGTTCTAGACACTATGCATCTACAAGAATTTTATTGGTCTTTAATCAGTAAGAAGAATTATAGATTTTAATTTAAAAAGGAAAAGAAAAAATAGCAAATGATAAAAAGGAAAATAATTCCCTCTAGTCTCTATGTCAACTGTGGTCATGTTTAGTAATTATTCTCCTGTGCATTAAACCCATCTTTCATACCTCATCTTTTGAAGGCAAAATTCTTTCTGATGAAATCATAATTTGAGACTGGCAAAGGTTGTAATTATCAACTATTTGGAATTTTAGGCCACAAGCTCAATATAAACCAGTTTTGCCTGTCTTAAGTTATATTGTTGGTAATTTTCACTACTTAATTTTTTTCTTTTAACCATTTATTCTTGTATCTCCTACCTTACAAGGGAAGCCTCTTAGAAGAAGAAAAGTACAGATACCATTTAGTCTGTTTTGCTAAACTTAACATTAAATTAAAAAAACATTTTTTACATTTCTATGAGAAAGCCTTTTTTAAGATGGTTTCTCTGCCATATCTTCATTATAGAACAAGTGTGATTTTTACAAAAGAAGACAGTGTCACAGACTATAAATTAAAAAGGGAAGCCGGGGCCTTCACGGTGGCGCAGCGGTTCAGTGCTGGGTTGCAAAGCTGCCCGCAGCCTCTGCAGCACCGGTTCGATCCCCGGCTGCTCCCCGGCCACTGGAGGAGGGTCCTACATGGCGCGCAGACCTCTCCTGCCGCCCGCTGCTCCCCTCAGCAGTGTACTTCGGTCCTTCTGCCTGCTCTGCTCCCCGCTCTGGCTCTGGTGAATTCTCTCACCCTCCCGCACTTCTGACTGTCCCCTGTGCTTGTATAAATAAGTAAATTAAAAAAAAAAAAAAGGGAAGCAGAGCCATCACATTGTTGCTACTACAACCTTCATTTGTTTTTTTTTTAATAGAATGGTGGTTTACTGCATTTTTATGTATTTTATAGTTTATGAAGACTATTTTTATTTTTCCCTCAAAACTCTATTAGATTAGGCATATCTTCCCAGTTATTAACATCGATTAAAAATAGTTTTTGTGAATATTTTATAAAAAGAGACTTACATGCCACTATGATAATCAGTAATCATGCTGGGAAACTATCAGGAAACGCTAAATTAAGCATTAAGTGGAGACTGAATTTTCAGAAATCTCTGGGGATTATTTCACTGTCATTCTGCAGCAACAGCTGCAAAACCGGAAACACCAGTGGGTTTTGAGCATCTACTGTGTATCAGATTTTTTTTTAAAGTTTCTTTTTTATTTAATCTTCACCATAATCCTGTGAGATAAAATTAGAAATTTTGAAAGTATAAATGGGCGGGAGTTTAAGAGTCCTTCCTTCCCTTTAACTACTAAAAGCCATGGTTCTTTCTAGAAATGCTATCAATCCACTAACAAGGAACTAACTTTTCAGTGCCTCCGCAGCAACTCAATTCCTTTCCTTGACTGATCTCATCCCAAGTGTCCTACTCTAACGGATGGTTTTATCTATTTTGTAATCTGCACAAGTAGGTTATCCTCTTCCTTCTTTTCTGTAGGTTTCAGATTACATATGTGTGAGATGAGAAATTTAGATAAAATTTTCTTTGATTTTCACTTTCACTGAACTCTGGAAAGGAAGTGAGAGGAAGACAAATCATTTTAAGGTCTGGGGGGCAGATCGACTAGGTTAAAATCTGGCGCCGACAGGTCGAAAGCACCTGCCTAGGTGGCAGTGAGCCGAGCAGCGAGCATCGAATCTGAAACCCGGAGTTACTGCTGGTGTCAAGCTCCCACTACTGTGGAAGCCTTGCTCGCTCCCGGAACTCGGGTCACATCTCGGCCACACCCCTGTCAGCAATGAACTACATTTCCCAGAATGCCATTTAAGCCGCCCTCCAGGGCTCCAATAAGCGCCTGAGTGACGCCATCAGCCCGCGCGATATTTAGACTATTGATGTCGTGGCGCTTTTGGGTGAAGAGCCTGGTGCTTTTCTTGGCCCTGGTACCGAAGACGCTGTCCGGGTGACACCAGGCTCCTTCCTACCCACCACTCCGCTCGCCTTTCCCCTCCCTCCTCTGGCAGAATGAGACGTGCAGGCCTGGGTAAGAAGAGGGCTAAGGTTCGAAGTTCGAGGTCCCTAGGACCGGCCTGCTGGGCGCAGGGGCGCGGGCGAACATTGAACTGGTCTTATGTCACTGGGATCTCGTGTATGGAGGGGTGTCTGGAGGCGGTGCCAAGTGGAAACCCACCATTTGCCCCAGACGCTAGGGCTTCCCTTAAGCTTCATTCAGTACCAAGTTTGGATGGTAGGTAAAAGAGAGTAGTGGCGGGCTGGAGGGTGTGTATAGGTGTCAACTCACTAGTCGAGTTAGTGTTCCCAACTGAGCGTGATTTTAGAAACTTGAGTTTCCCAGAGCCCGGCTTTGTTTTCTTTTTCTCCACTTGCCCTGGATTTTAGTTTATTCAGAAGCGAAATCTAAAGACTGAGTTCTGTATAGGAACAACCCTAATAATAATCACATGAGACAGGTAACAGTGAGTTACAAGGGTAAACGTATGTCATCACTGTTAAAGACCATGGTATGTAACATCGGGGTTAAAGGTCATTTTACCGAGAGCATTTATCTAAACCTTGTTCCACTGTTAAGGTAGTAAGTAGTATGTGATAAGGCTTGATGGCAGCATTTGTTCTTAATCTCTTGATTTACAAAGCAAAAGGGTTAAGTTAGGCATAAGAACTTGGAATAGGCCATTTTAATGCACAGCTATTCCAATAGAATTTTCTAGTTCTGAAGCTATTAAGAGACTTTTATTAAAAAAAAATACTATTGGGCCTCCCTGGTGGCGCAGGCGAATGAGCGCAGGGCTGTGAAGCTGTCCGCAGCCTCTGCAGTGCCGGTTAGATTCCCCACCCGTCACAGAGCAGCCCACATGGCGCAGCAGACCTGTCCTGTCTCACCTGCTGCTCCCCTTAGCAGTGTATTTCAGTAAATCCGCCTCTTCTGTTCCCCACTCTGTGGTGAATCCTCTCACACCCCCACACCTCTGGCCTATACCCCAGTTCTTGTATGCATAAATAAATCTTTAAAAAAATACTATTGGGGCCTCCCCGGTGGCGCAGCGGTTGAGCGCTGGGTTGCGAAGCTGCCGGCAGCCTCTGCAGCGCTGGTTCGATCCCCGGCTGCTCCCTGGCGCGGAAGGAGGGTCCCACATGGCGCGCAGACCTCTCCTGCCGCCCGCTGCTCCCCTCAGCAGTGTACTTCTGTCCTTCTGTCTTCTCTGCTCCCTGCTCTGGCTCTGGTGAATTCTCTCACCCTCCCGCGCTTCTGACTGTACCCAGTGCTTGTATAAATAAATAAAATAAATCTTTAAAAAAAAAATACTATTGTACAGTGTACTTGAGAAAATGCACGAAATATTTGAGGAAAAATTACCTTTTTAGTTGTTAAAATAAAATGGGAAAGAGAAAAGGCTTTACAAAAATGTCAAGAATTTTGAAGTCAGTATAAGTTCCTAGTACTTGAACTTTGACTAATATAGTATGAGAGATCCCTCAAAGAGGCTAATGATTCCATTCTTGACAAAAGCATGCACAAGTAAAGTTGAATAACAGTGAATTCAGATTCTATTCATTAACTCGTTCATTTACAAATATTTATTGGGTGTTCTTTGTGTGTGTGTGTGTCTGTCTACATTTGTGGGGAATATACAACCATGAGTGAAATAGTTTCTACCCTTGGAGTGTAGTCTAGAGTGCAAAAAGATTACATAGAGTGAGAGCAGTAAGAATTCAAAGATGAAGTTCTGCTTTTTAGACCACGTGAGATCTTAAAAGAGCTTCCTGGGCCTCCCCTGGCGGCGCAGCGGTTGAGCGCTGGGCTGCGAGGCTGCCCGCAGCCTCTGCAGCGCCGGCCACCGCCGAAAGTCCCACCAAAAAAAAAAAAAAAGAGCTTCCTGTTCATATTTGGGCCATGTGGCTGGTACTTTCTGTCTTTCCATCTCACTGTCACTGCCTCTCTTTCTGTTCTAGAAACCTCTAGTTTCTATATCATTATGTTTCCCCATAATCTCAGGCCATCATTGAATCTCCTTTAATCCCTGGTCCAATATAGTTCCCATAATCCCTATCTTCAGTTCTTTAGTCACTCTTGGCAAGCAATCTGATTCTCCTGGGGTTAGGTTCTTCTGTAGCCACAACTCTCTAAGTCTCTAACTCTTAGTCAATCCAGCCATCCATTTTCTCATGGCTAGTGAGACCAATTTTTTATATGTGTGCAGAAAAATCACACATCTGGGAGAATTGAAAGCACTACAATATATTGCTTCAACCAGGATTATTTTATCCCCCAGTAATTCTGAGTAGTCTTAATCTCTTGTCTTCATTTAGTTTCCTGTTTATTCCAAATGACCACATTCTTCAACTGTCTTGTCTTTTGCTGAAAAAATTGATGGTTTTAACTCTTTAAAAAATAAATTGGGACTGAGCCTCCCTGGTGGTGTAAGGGGTTGAGTCTCAGTACTATCAAGCTATATGCAGCCACTGCAGCACAAATTCGATCCCTGGCCAGGGAACTAATCCACATGGCGCATAAGACCTCTCCTGTCTCACCCGCTGTTCCCCTCAGCAGTGTGTTTTCAGTCAGCCTGCCTGTTCTGCTCCCCACTCTGTCTCTAGTAAATACTCTCACACACCCCTCTCTCCCCCACCCCCGCACCTCTGGCCTACACCCGAGCTCTTGTATATATAAATAAATAAATCTTTTTAAAAAATTGGGAGTAACACCCTCAACTATTCTTTCCCCTAAGTCCCTAATGCATGTTATATTGTCACTTTTCAAGATTAGTCTACCTGTTCAGTTGACTGATCAGTATCAAGTACAATATTAGGCAGCTGTTCTTAGTGCTATCTGTAGAAGATAAACTCCATACATGTAGCACTTAGAAAGAACAATGGATCTGACACATGGTAGCTAACTCAAATATTTGTCAAAAGAATTAATTAACCCTCCGTTTAATTCTCAGGTAATGTTCTCCATAAGTTATTCAAACTCTTCTATGTAAGAGATAGATGCCTGTAAGACCTTCCCTCTGCCATGAGCTCCCTCCTGCTATATTATCCTATTTCTCTTTCCCTTAATAGCCAAATTTCTTCAATTGGTAGTTGGTATTACCACTTTCAGATCTTTTTTAAAATTCATAGCTCTATTGAGCAGGGAGTATATCCTGAATATCATTGTATAACTGCCTATTTTAGTATCTTGTGAGCAATCAGTCCATGATAAATGTATAATGAAATAAAGTGAATATTCTTTGCTTAAGAGCTGGTATTAGAATAGTTCTGAAAATTTTTCACTTGAAGTGTGAATATTATAGACATGCATGGTCTGCAACGCCCTCCAGGGGTCTTTTTCAGTTTCTTTCCTATCATGATTTCAGTTCTTTCCTATCATGATTTAAAAAATACCTTCTATTTTTGCTACAGCTATACTTGTGACTCTCTGATCCTTGCAGGTGAAGGGATACCTCCTGGCAACTATAGAAACTATGGCTATGCTAATAGTGGGTACAGTGCCTGTGAAGAAGAAAACGAAAGACTCACTGAAAGTCTGAGAAACAAAGTAAATACTATAAAATCTGTAAGTATATACCGTATTAGATACTTTTAAATTTGTATCTATACGTATTTACTTTTATTGGTATCATACTAAGGAATCTATTACCCAAATACTATAATCAGTGAGGTCAAAGTATACTCAATATTTAGAACATTATTTGAGAAGGTTAGGAAATGTGGCCAATCAAAAGAAATGGTACATCTACTTATTTTCTTTTAAACTCCACCTGTTTTTGTAGTTAGATTTAAAATACCATATTTTGTCTGTAGTAATGTCTCACAGCTGTCCATCTTCCACCCCAAAAGCCACTCTTCTCACATTTTCTTCTTCTTGTCATGTAAGATATAGATCTCAGTCTTGGATGTTTCTTTGACCTCATGTTGTCACTAAGTCTTCCGCTTCTTTCTATTGTTTCTTTTCCTGTTTGTCTATTCTTAATACTATTGCCTGGTTTTCTTAGGTGAACTATTAGGAAGCCTTTTAACTCTTCCTGACTCTCTTCCTTATTTTTTGATGTTCTTGTGTGAGTTCCATACTCTCACCACAACCATTTATTTAAAGTATTTTTTTTAATTGCATCATGTACTCAACAGTATCGATGATGTCCTCCCATGAATGTCCTCCTATGATGTAGTAAGTAAAGTTTATACACTGTAGCTGGATCATATAGGTCCTTCAAAAATTGGCCACAGCTTTTACAACCTTACCTCCCACACTTCCAGAATGTGTATATGCTTTCTGCCAGACGAGTCCACTCCATGTACTATGTACACTGTCACTTTCTCACCTCCATATCTTTGATCATGCTATCCCTTTGCCTTTAGATATCCTCTCCCTCCTTATATGTTGCTGAAGTCTTACTCATTCCACTTCATTGTACCTCTTCCCTCCAAGCTTTACCTGACTAAAACATCAAAGTAACAACATTTGTCCTATGAACATAAGATCATTTGTACCATTCCTGCAGCACTTATAGTTCTGTATGTAAAATAAATTTACCAGACTGGAGGATTTCCTATTGCACTTTAAAAAAAAAAATTTTTTTTTTAAAAGGACAGGTTATGGAAAAAGAAAAAGAGGCACCTGCATATTCACAGGTGGGCAGGAAAGCTGTCGATTGTAGTTATTTTTATATTCTACACAGTACCTAGCATAATTCTTTGTTAGTGGTATTGAGTAAATATGTATTCAATGAAAGAATTACAGCAAGATAATGTTAATAGTGCTGATTACAATTGACTCTGCATTATAAACACACTATACACTTACGGAGCATTCAGTATAGTTCATGTTGTCAAACCCAACTGGTTTCACCTTAATCTTTGAAAAATTAAACTGTATTCAGAGTGGAGACTTTTACATTTTGAAATTAGTACTAATTTCAAACTCATTGTAAAACAAGACTAAGGAATTAAGAATTAAAGTTTTGTTTAACAACATGTTAATAATTTAGGCTCCTAGTTAGAAGAAAACTGTGATGCCTGAAAATTTCTTTTCTTGGCCTGAATGATAGTTCCAGGAAAAAGTTGGATGGTTTGGGTATCTAGCTTTGTTATCCCTGAATTATTAAATTTTGGGGAAAAACACATATTCTGATCTGTAGAATTCTGTGGTTTTTTTGTCAGTATTATTCCATATGCTTTCCCAACAAATTTAATTTGCAAACTATATTTGCATTGTTTTGCCAAGATTTTCAGTAGTTGGCTTTATTTATTCAAAGATCTTGAAAATAAAATCTTTGAAAAATTTATCATATAACATTAAATAGCTTTTGGGTTGAGTAACTTTCATAATTATCCATGTTGTGTTGTTTATTTTAGGCTCAACCTCTCTTCCGCTTTTAGCTTCAGGATGTGGCTAACACTAACTTGTAATTTTTTCCAATTTATTACATTTTAAAGAAAAAAATACCTTTAACGTCTAAAGGAATAATCAGTTTAGGCATATATATAAAATCATATTTCTTTATACTTTAAAATATAGAGGAGGAAATATATAGATATATGCTGTTCTATGAATAATACAAAAATACAAAAAAAGCATGCAAGGATAAAAGAACCATGGAGAAGTCTATATTAAACTTAAAAAATGGAATTGAATATTAAGGTAAAATCAAAATGAAGAACAGAGACAATGCAGAGTTGCTAAGGAATAGAAATTCTAAATTTGTTTTCCATTAATTCAGTGGAAAAAAGTATCAGAAGATGAGAGTATATTTTATATTTCTAGAATAAGGTTTTATTTGAGAAACTCTTTGATCCTTTCCTCTTAGTAATAATGTTTATGTTTTCTTTATAGCTTTCCATTGAAATAGGCCAGGAAGTTAAAAATCAAAATAAATTATTAGCTGAAATGGTAAGTGGCTATGTTTCTAACTTTAAGAAATTTGATCTAATATTCTCAAATTTAGTCTGTTGAGCAGGAATAATATTATTTTAACATTTATCTATTTTGAAATTGATCTAAAGACCATAAGTCCTATATTCTCATCCATTTATATCTAGATGATTTGGAATAACAATAAAGTTTATTTTTGCCATATGTTCTATTTTTCATCTTGCCTAACATAGTAAGAGGAGGTGGTGGAAGCCAACTTATCTTTTTTTTTTCTTTTAAAGATTTATTTATACAAGAACAGGGGTACAGGCCAGATGCGCGGGAGGGTGAGAGGATTCACCAGAGACACAGCAGGGAACAGAACAGCCAGACTGACCAAAATACACTGCTGAGGGGAGCAGCAGGCAAGACAGGAAGAGGTCTGCTGTGCCATGTGGGAGTCTCGCCGGCTAGCGGGAATTGAACCCACGCTGCAGAGTCTGTGGACAGCTTCACAGTGTGGTGCTCAACCACCTGTGCCACCAGCGAGGCCCAGAAGCCAATTTATCTTTAATACTATGTTTAGAAATACTGTTGAAGGGCCTCCCTGGTGGTGCAAAGGGTTAAGATGCAACCTGTGAGGCTATCTGCAGCCACTGCAGCATGAGTTCAATCCCCGGCCATGGTGCAGCAGACCTCTCCTGATCACCCGCTGCACTCCTCAGCAGTGTATTTCAATAAATCTGCCCGTTCTGTTCCCCTCTCTGTCTCTGGTGAATTCTCTCACTCCCCCATACCTCTGGCCTGTACTCCAGTTCTTGTATGCATAAATAAAAAAATCTTTAAAAAAAAATACTGTTGGAGACTAAGGACTTCTGACTATTGAGTCTCAGAGCTCTCAATGGATGAAAACTATACAAAATCAAAATGCATTTTATATATCCATCCAACCTATTCTCTTTTACTTAATGTAAACCTGTTTCTTTGCTAAGATCTCCCCAGTAGCCACTTTTGGACAAAACATAGTATCATCCAGAGCCCTTTATCTTAGACTCAACAAACTCAGCATCATATACCATTTCTTGTAAACACCTGCTTTCATTCTTTATTGTTTATTTTGGATGTCAAGCTTCTCCAGGCCGTCCTTAGTTTCTCAGTATACTTTTAAAAGTGTGGTTTTCAAAAATGAATATGGCAATGAATGCAACATTCTCACAAAAGTTGTCCAATTACCTGGGGCATTTTCTAAAAATATACTCTAATTATACTCTGCATTCTGACAATCACTTTAAATAGTAATTTAGAATTTCAGGAAGAGGGAATTAGATATATGTGTTTTGAAAAAGTATCCCAAGTGAGTCTGATACATAAACCTGGTGAAGCACTATAAATCTAAAGTGCATGAATTACACAGAGCCTAAGCTGTTCAAAGATATGCCAGGGCCTTGTCATCTTGGGATACTGCAAATTCTATGAAGATCCAATATTTCTAACCCATACCTAGTCCTCATTTTAAGGAGTTTTCCAGCTATGTTTTTATGTGGTAGTCCCCCACCCATCTATTTTTGTTTTCCTTACTACAGCTTACCACCTCTACATGATATTCTGACTTCTAATAGATTCTACTTCAAAGCCAAGTATCTAAATAAAAGTATCTTAAAAGTGAAGCTTACAATTAACTACTAACCATATTAAATTTTGGATGAAATGCCTACTGGCATGCAAACCACCATTTGGCCTTGGAGAGGAATGCCACAACAGAAAGTAGGAAAAAACCTGTATGATAGCAGAAAAACTATTTACATTTTTTGTTGGTATTTTTTAATCCATATTATTGGAATGAGACCTAGATAGTTTGAGATTGAATTAATCTGAGGCAAAAAGAAATGTTCATTAGATAATGAAAACGCATTTTATTCATTGAGAGAATTTCTGTATACTGCATGGAATAATCAGGGCTGATAACCCAGGTTATAAACAGGCTCCTGAATTGATTAAATGAAAATGTCATTAAAAATACATTCTAATAACAGTATATTTAAATACTTAAATGCAAAAATTAAAATATTAGTCTATTATATTTTATTTTTCTGCTCACAGGATTCACAATTTGATTCTACAACTGGATTTCTAGGGAAAACTATGGGAAGACTGAAAATTTTATCGAAAGGGAGCCAAACAAAGCTGCTGTGCTATATGATGCTGTTTTCATTGTTTGTGTTTTTTGTCATTTACTGGATTATTAAACTGAGGTGATGCAAGTAAGTCTGAGTTTGGAATTTGTTCCAGTTTTGTGACTTGGAGTGCCATTGAAGAAAAAAGTCAGCATCCAAACATTCCTAATTCTCATATAGTATGGCTTTTCCACAGAGGATCCCCAAATTTTACTTGTTTTATAAATCACTTTAGATAATACAATGCTCTTTTAATACTGTTTCTTAATGACTCATTTTTGCCTCTATTTTCAGGGGTATTGAGATGGCTTGAAACCAGTCTGGGCCTAATGGTTTTCCATTGTTTGCTGTCAAGTGAAATAGCAATATAATATTCTGTTCTTGCCATAAATGTAGGCGTATGTTCCATAAGAGACACTTAGTGGGAGCATAACAGAATGCCTGGAGAGCCAGGCACTGAGCTCCTGAGGGAGTGAACAATTTGTGATGGAATGGTAAATGTAGTTTCCTGAATTGTCATCATCGGGCCTTTCCTCCTTTATTTGGCTAAAATTGTAAGCTGATTTCTTTTTCCCTTCAATTTTTCTGGTACTTTTGATAATACGACTCCTCTTTTCCCTCTGGCCAAGAACTTCATTCTGTAATATAACTTGTTATTTTGGAATTTACCAACAGAGTCCAACACAATTGTGTACTAGTATAGTTGATGTTTTATATTAACTTTATCATTGGTTTGGCTTATGATAGTTTTATGATTTTAGCTACTTTTGGTTATCATTTGTGACAGAATGTCAAGCGCAAGTAATTGCTAAGCTTTGATTAGAAATAAAGTGTTTAAGAAAATGAATTGCCTCTGCTTTACTACATGCTCAAAAATACTGAAAAATACTGAGGCATTGAACTTGCAATTAAGACTATTGTCACTTTAATCCAATATATTTGTTTATAGAAAGCAAAATGCAAAGGTGGACAGTTGAATAGAAAGAAATATTAAAATTAAAATGTTAAATACTCTATTTCTCCTATTTTGGAACTTATCCATTTATAGGCTCTCAAAATAAAATTTTTAATGAAATATATTGACTTTGTTGTTTCTTTACTTTTTGACATAGAATCTGAGAAATTGTCCTGAAAACTCAGATTTTGAACTAAGTGAGTAAAAGTTAATATTTATTGATTCAGATCTTGTTTCAAACATATGAGATAAATCGTGACTGCAATTTCTACATCTCTCATGTATTATATTTGTACATCTCTCATGTATATTTTCAATTATAAATCTATTATCTTTGATTTTGCTCAGTTTGCAACCCTTTTTACTTATCCCTAATTACCTATCAATTCAGGGTCCTGTCTTCTCTGGTTACATTTGGGCCTCCACATAACAAGTAAAAACACTAGAACTGACAAAGGTTGTGATTTTGTGATTTAAACAGCGTGTAAGAAAGGCCTCAGGTATAATGGTAGGAACACTGGTTTGAATAGACCAGAGCTCTTAACTCCATTCCTTTACTTGTTTTGTCTGGGGCATCAGTTTCTTCATTAAATTAGATATTTTATAGGATTGTTGTGAGAAGTAAATAATATTGCATCGTACCTGATAAATGATAAATGCTCAATGTTAGTTCTCCCTCTTATTCACAGAAATTACACATAAAAAAAGGGAGTTATTTTAGAGGCAAGACAGTAAGTTGTTTGAGGCTTTGATGTGACTTCCAAGTGGGAATTTTTATCTAACAATTAGGAGAGACTTGTTTATTCAATAATTGTTTATGTACTCTGCTAATTAGGTGACATCAGATCAGGAAAGACATTATCAGTCATTGAAATTACAGAAAAGGGGAGAATAGGTCAAAGAAAGTGACTTGAAGACTGAAACAAGAATAATGGAAAGAGATGAAATCACAGCCCTAGGAAAACTAGGGACAACAAGAGAAGGATGGATTTCAAGATTAAGGTTTGGCTAGTATATGAGAGTATGAAAGTATCCTAATGTATTAAAACTTCTTAAATGTTGTGTATTATCAAGGAGGTGGACATTTCAGCAAGAGGTGTCCGAAGGGAAGTGAAAGTAATTTTCATTACTGGATTGTTCAATATTTCTTATTTCACAATTAAAAAACTTTTTAAGAACTGCCTAAAACTGGGGCTCCCTGGTGGCGCAAGGTGTTAAGTCTCAGCACTATCACGCTATCAGCAGCCACTGCAGCACCAGTTCAATCTCCGGCCTGGGAGCTACCCCACATAGTGCAGCAGACCTCTCCTGTCTTGCCCCCTGCTGCCTTCAGCAGTGATTTCATTCAATCCAACTGTTCTGCTCCCCACTCTGTTTCTGGTGAATCCTCTCACCCCACCTCCCTGTACCTCTGCCCTACACCCCAGCTCTTGTATGCATAAATAAATAAAATAAATCTTTTTTAAAAAAACTGTCTAAAACAGATTCAGTATTGCATATTACCCCCTGTGATCAGTGCCTTTACTGAGATTCCTGGCAGGCAGGGAATTTCTGGGAGGGGCCTGTCCCTATGTCATTTGAGATCCTTCTGTCAATTATCCTAGGAATGTCTAGGAAAAATTACTCTCAGAAATAAAATTTCAGGAAAACATCAAACGTGTAAAAATTCTAATCATTTATAAGCTCATTGTTAACTATGAAAAGGTTCCTGGAAGCTCATAGTAACACTTGAACAGAAAGTATTTACACTAAACTCTTTATTCTAACAATATGACTTGCAGATGTTTGAGTGGTAGGTGAGATACAATATATCCTGTACTTTTTTTTTTTTAAAGAATATTAACACTGGGGGCCTCCCCTGGCGGCACAGCGTTTGAGCAGGTTGAGCGCTGGGCTGCGAAGCTGCCCAGAGTCTCTGCAGCGCCGGTTCGATCCCCGGCCGCCATCGAGGGTCCCACATGGCACACAGACCTCTCCTGAATCACCCGCTGCTCCCCTCAGCAGTGTATTTCGTCAGTCTGCCTGTTCTGTTCCCCACTCTGGCTCTGGTGAATTCTCTCACCCTCCCGCACTTCTGACTGTACCCAGTGCTTGTATAAATAAATAAAGAAATCTTTAAAAAAAAAATTTTTAATTAAATAAATAAAAAGAATATTAACACTGATCATGTGAATACATTGCAGTTGGGACATCTTGGGTACCCTATTCTCCACATCCTAATTGTGGTGGAGTTCAGGTAGGTTTTCATTGTGGGAGTGGGTAGAGAAAGGGTGAGGAGGGACATAAGGAGAAATCTGTACCATCCCTTACAGATATCAGGTATAGGTCGCTACACTGAGGAGAGGGAGATTATCTATATTACGTTAGAATTTATTTCACCATGCAAACTAATTCTTGGATACTACTTTTGCAGAGAATAGATGTTAGGTCTAGAATTAATATGCCATGTTTTAAAGCATCAGAATTCTGGAGCAGAAAACCATAGCACTTGCATCCATGAAAACTGGTTTTCCTAATTTTCAATGCTCTTAAATTTCCAATGATATGTATTGAACTTGCTTCTTTATAGAGAATGTGAAAGAAGTGCTTGATCATTTGGATTCATTCAGTCAGTAAATCACTTCATCAAGCCAAACTGATGAATAAACTTTGATAAATATTTACTGGGAAGCAAAATTGAATTGTAGCTGTGACTAAAAGTCATGAAGTCACATTCCAAACATACCTTGCTTGCACCACACACACATAACTTTGGACTGATAATGTCTACCTCAGTTACTCTATAATACAGGAGTAAAATGTGTATATAGATAGCAGAAATACATTCATAGTGTATTTTGATAATCTAATTATTTTATGTGTAAAGAACTTAGAATAGGTTCCTAGTGATCAATAGTAGTTATTGCCTTTGTGGTTCTGGGGGCGGGAGAGGGGGCTTTCTAATCTGTCACTCCAGCCCCCTTGCTGAAAAAAGTTTGACTCCCCACCATGTTGCCAGGGATGAAAGCAACTGTTTATATTTTCTCTCCCAGGAAGAATTCATCATTTTCTAAGACTTAGTTCATTTAGATTTTTTTTTTTTTCATCCTCAACAATCTGATGGAAATTTGAAAAAAAAAAAAAAAACCACCTAATTTTTTTGTGTATCTGAATTCTTTGGCTTATTATAGTGGGAGTAATAGACCTTTCAACTTTTCAGAAGAAGTTTGGAAGGAGATAAATTTAAAAAGTTCTTTACCTCTAAAGGTTTGAGAAAAAGTTTATAACCATTCTATTTCCTTGAACCATTTTTACAGGTACATTTTAAACTGCATTCTATTGTGAAACACTGATTTATGGTGTGGAGTAAAAAGCATGAAGAATTTTAATTTACAACATGCCAACCAGTTATTCCCACAGTAAATTCTCTCTCTCTCTCTCTCTCTCTCTCTCTCTCCTTATATATATTTTATAGCCTATGATTGGGTGTCTAGAATGTGTATGTTATTCTTCCTAATTTTTTATCCTGGTAGCAGAATCATACTAATAGTCTTTCAACAGTCAATACTATCTTTTCATTCTTTCTGATAAACTTTATCATACTTTGAATGTATTTTAACAAAGCTTAGTGGATTTTCATAAGAACCACAGTAATCTTTTCTAATCTCTAAAAAAAATTAAAAATTTCTAAAATGTTTCCCTAATTGAAATGTTGGATTTTAATGCCAAGGAAATTTTTCATTTCCTCTTATTATATATTTTTATGTAATGGTAGAGCTGGTTGCTCTTCAGGGGTCAGGGGCAATCTGTAGTAATTTTTATTTCTGTAGTGTAAATATAAGTTACCAATGTGACACCACTGAAAATGGACTTGTAAAAACATATGCACAATTGATTCTCACAAGCTAGTACAAGTTAGCACTGCTACATCACTGTTGATATTGACATAAACATTCTTTCAAAAGATGAGAAGTTACTTTCTTCCTAAATGAGAATCTTTCACTTAAGTAGAGAAAATTAAGGCAGCATGAATTAAAGTTAGAAAATTAACTTGAGAATACTGTTTTTCAGTGGCCATGGGCTCAGAAGGTTATTTATATATGTTGTATATATCAATTTATTTCTGCATATGGGTAAATTTATGCCACATTTATTGACCTTTCATCTTCTGGTAGTTCTAATACTGTATGCAAACCATACACAAAAAAGATAGGTGGTAGATGTTATTCTCCATTTCCCTCCAGCTAAATGTTCGAACAGAGTCCAGGAATCACTTTGAATATTTTATAAAGCTTTTCCCTCTTCATAGAAATACTGGCTTCCAAAGTTTATCATAGCCTAGGAGTTCAGTTGACTGGGTCATGTATGTTTGCCCTTTAATAGGAATTTTTCACAAGCCTTTAAATGACTACCATATAAACTAAAAAGATTTCAAAGTACTATGTTCAGTTCTTCAATTAATTTTTCCTAATCCTCAAAACAAAAATGGAATGATTGAAATACATCTAAACGGTTTGGTTTGGGTTTATTTATTTATTTATTTGTGGTTTTTTTGTGGGACCCTCGCTGGCGGCCGGGGACCGGGGAATGAACCGGCGCTGCAGAGGCTGCAGGCAGCCTCTCAGCCCAGTGCTCAACCGCTGCGCCAGGGGGAGGCCCTGTACAACATTTTTATGATGCTTGGATGTTATCCATCAGTAAATCTTTTCCCTAAGATTGATATGAAGACACAAGTTGTTCTCAATTCTGTTTTTGTTTTGGTTTAGAGTAACTGTTTGTGTTATTGTTATATTGTCAGTGTTGTGTCAATTTGCTAGAAATGTAAGTTTGTGCTTCCATCTTGTAATCCCAACTGGGTGCAGTTGCCATGATTCGCAGTGGAGACTCTGTTAAATTATTCTCTGAGAATCTGTTTTCTTCATGCTAAAACCACTATTGATTACATGTATTTCCTACCAAGGCTAAAAAGTATAAATTTGGATTGACATTTCTTTGTAAAGGGTGGTTTCTGGTTTGTTTATGTTTGATGATTTTGACATTGTGCTTAAGAGCAATTTTCATGTTAATATAAGCCTTCTATGCCAAAGGGGAAAAAATCAAGTTCTTGAAGTACAAAGTCATTAAAGCATTAAAGGTAATTAAAAG